AAGCCTCTGCTATCGGCTCAGGTCATGATCCCAGGGTCCTGGGATCGAGCCCCGAATCGGGCTTTCTGCTCAGCAGGGAGCCTGCTTCCTCTTCTCTCTCTGCCTGCCTCTCTGCCTACTTGTGATCTCTGTCTGTCAAATAAATAAATAAAATATTAAAAAAAAAAAAAAAGACCTGAGCTGAGATCAAGTGTTGGATGCTTTAACAACTGAGCTGCCCAGGCACCCCCTGGTCACAAATTCTTGTAAGAAATTCAGAATTTTAGAAATTCTCAAAGACACAAAAATATATGCAGGGAAAGTTAGTGAGCCATTGCTTGTAGTAGTTTAAAAACTAGAGAAATGCAAATGTCTATTAACAGCTAGATTGGTGAAGTAAATTAGGACATACCCATAAATTAGAACATTGTTTAAAAGAGTGAGATAGGGGCACCTGGGTGGCTCAGTCGTTAAGCGTCTGCCTTCGGCTCAGGTCATGATCCCTGGGTCCTGGGATCAAGCCCCACATCAGGCTCCCTGCTAAGCAGGAAGCCTGCTTCTCCCTCTCCCACTCCCCCGCCTGTGTTCCCCTCTCTCACTGCATCTCTCTCTGTCAAATAAATAAGCAAAATCTTTAAAAAAAAAATAAATAAATAAATAAAATAAAAGAGTGAGATATACTGTAGACTCTAACACTCTTCCCGTTGTCGTGGGAGAAAAATCAGCAGAATGAAGGGTAAAAATACAACTCTATTTTTCGTGTCTTAAAAAAGTGGTTATACTCTCTCCTAATGATGACCTGAGCCCTGCCACTTGATGGGAGAATCAGCAGAACCTATAGGATCTTATTTGGAATTGACATTCTCTATTGTAATTTTGTTTCTGTTTATTTTTAAATTTTCTTTTTGTTTCACTGGAAAGATGATGCTCAGTTTAAACATTAAAAGTGTACAACTTGCTTTGTTACAATAAAACTAAATGTGTACACATACACATATACAAAAGTGGTTATAGTAATCTGTGCCTAGAAATTATTTGAAGTAATGGACACTAGCTATCTTTGGGGTGAGTAGGGCAGAATTTCACTTTTCTTCATTGCTTCTGAGAGAGAAAGAAATTTCTACAGGAAGAGCATAATTTGAAAGAGGAAGTAAAAAGGATAAATTTCAATGTAAATTTATATTGCTAACATTTTTTTTTTAAAGGGAATGCTACTGGGGCGCCTGGGTGGCTCAGTGGTTAAAGCCTCTGCCTTCAGCTTAGGTTGTGATCTCAGGGTCCTGGGATCGAGTCCTGCATCGGGCTCTCTGCTCAGCAGGGAGCCTGCCTCCTCCTCCTCTCTCTCGCTGCCTGCCTCTCTGCCTACTCGTGATCTGTCTGTCAAATAAATTAAAAAAAAAAATCTTAAAAAAAATCTTTAAAGGGAATGCTACCTGCAAGTTTTTGTGTTGGAATGAGTTGAGATTTGCATATGGTTTATTATATCAAGTGACCAACTTCTAAATATGTTCCATGGCTTTTTAAAAGAATATGAAGTTGGAGGACTGTGAGAGTCACTATTAAAGTCACAGGAGACAGCCCAGTCCTCAGTGTAGCCCAGGAAACCTTAGGGGCCCCCACAGTCATGCACCATCAATAAACTATACTGTACCCCCAGAATAGGAAGTTGATTATTGTAGAATATTCAACTCTTCCTGTATCTGTCAAACTAGCCTCCGGTAGGAGTCACATTCTCTGCCTCCATTGTTTCAAAACCACAGCAGCATGTCACAGTCTCTCACTGCGGTTAGGTTTCTGTGACTCTGTCAGCTGCTCCCATGATTCCTGTTCTTACTGATGAGTCGTGGGCTGTTCGGGAGCACTGCAGCCGGACCTGGTGAGAGTCTGCTGAGACTCGAGTCTCTAAACATTTCAGTCATCCTGTCCAGCTTACTGTCCTCCCAGTTCCTTCCTCAGAATTAAAAAAAGAAAAAAAAAGTTCTTTAAGAATTTGACATATAAACTCATACTTTGTCAAGCCCCGCGTAAGTTAGTGAATTGATCGACTGTCTCTCAGTTCCAAAGACACTTTTTTTTTTTTTAAAGTTATATGCTTTTGTTCTCATTTCGTTAAAATTACTAGACAGGAATTTTTATGACAGAGTGTAGAAGAGATTGTATAAAGAATGATGACGGACACCTGGGTGGCTCAGTCGGTTAAGTGTCTGCCTTCAGCTGAGGTCATGATCCCAGAGTCCTGGGATCGAGCCCCACATCGGGCTCCGTGCTCAGCGGGGAGCCTGCTTCTCCCTCTGCCTGCTGCTCCCCCTGCTTGTGTGCTCGCTCTCTGACAAATAAATAGATAAAATCTTTAAAAAAAAAAAAACAAACCCCGTTTAAAAAAAAAAAATGATGAACATGCAGTTGTCATCTGGACCTTCTCCGTAAATCTTCAGCAGCATAAAACCTTGCATGTATATCAGCCCCCGTCACTCAGTGCTTGATTTAGGAAACTGTGTTTCCACATGGTCATTAAGATCTCATTAGAGCTGACCCACGAATGTCTTCTGGATGAATGGTTTTCTGGATAATTGGGGCTTAACCCTTTAAGTACCTATTCTATTGGATACCCCTTTAAAAGTGTATGACAGGGGCACCTGGGTGGCTCAGTGGGTTAAAGCCTCTGCCTTCAGCTCAGGTCATGATCCCTGGGTCCTGGGATTGAGCCCCACATCGGGCTCTCTGCTCCACAGGGAGCTTGCTTCTTCCTCTCTCTCTCTGCCTACTTGTGATCTCTGTCTGTCAAATAAATAAATAAAATCTTAAATAAAATAAAACTAAATTAAGGTGTATGACAAATAATGAAATGGGTAATGTTGTTAAAAACAGTCCCATGGTAAGCATCCAGGTGGTAAGTAGAGGGGTGTTTCCTGAAGAATTTTTTCAACTTTGTCGAATGTTTGAAAATTTTCCTAATAAATATTGAGGGGGGAAAGATCACTTTGGAAAGTCCTGTGGCCCTTATTCCAACAGCCTTGCGGTAACTCAGCTCAGCGGGTGGAGCAGCTGAGGCTGCAGGCCCCGGAGCCCGACCGCCTGGGTTCCTGTGCAGCAGCGGGGGCGGGGGCGGCCTAATTGTGTGCCCTTCGGGCAAACACTCTGCTTCTCTGGGCCTTGCCCTTCTTGTCTGGAAAGTGGGAGTGATAATAGCGCCGCTGCAGGGGTCGTGGTGGGAGTGACCTGAGCCCGTGTGTGTGCGGAGCCTCCTCCAGCGCTGAACGCCGCATGGTGGCGGAGTGGCCACTGTCCCCGCGACTGCTCCTTTCACTTGCCTTCCATATCAACCACTGACCTGCTCAGAGAATCACTGGGAATGCTGCTGTCCTTGATCATCGTTTTGAACGACAGTGTGAGGCTCCTTTGAGACTTGGCTTTGAATGACGTGGGAATTATCCCCCAAATCAAGTCCATCTTTGTGTTGCGCACTTTCCCAGCCTTCGCAAGTAAAATGCCAGGAACGTGATTTAACGCTTCCTCAGTGAAGCCCAACCCCATCGCAGACTTCAGGGGTGGCACTGCGGCATCGGTGCCCTGTCTGCAGGGCCCTGTGCTCTCCCGCTCGTGAGTTCTACACGCCCCCCCACCCCCCAGAGCTCAGGTCTCTTCAGTCTGCGCCCTCCTGTTCACGACCAGCCGTTCCCCTGCACCCAGAGCAGAAATAAATCCTACCAGGTTACGTCAGGCAGTAGCAGAAATAAATGATGTCCCCTGTGTAGGGACCTCAGAAGGGGGGAAGGAAGTCCCTCTTGTACAAAACAGAGAGCTTTAGCGCTCTGTCCTCCGCCCCTTTCGGGTTTGACCTTTTAATGGTTTCCAGTGCATTCACGGGTTTTTTCGGTCATCACAACTCAGAGCATTTCATCACCCCAGAAGAAACCTCATACCATTAGCGGTGGCTCCCATTCTCGCCCTCCCTCAGCCCTTGGCAACCACTGGTCTGTTTTCCATCCCTGGGGATGGACCGCTCCCGGGCCTTTCCTACAAATGCAGTGATATGACATGTGGCGTTTGGGGCCACCTACTTGCAGTTCGCACGTTTCCATCCGTGTTGCAGCACGCGATGGCCCTCAGTCCTCCGCCAGATAGACATGCCCGGTTTGGTCCGTGCATCCACCTGCCGGTGCACACTGAGGTGGTTTCTACCTCTTAGCCATTATTATGAAGTCATGCGTATCTGTGAGCAGTGTTTGTGTGAATCTATTGTTACTTCTTCTGTGTGTATATGTAGCACTGGATTTACTGGGTCTTACGGTGACTCTTCATTTCACTTCTCGAAGAACTGCCAAGCTGATTTACAGAGAGGCTCTGCCAATTCACAGGCATCTCACCGGCCACAGAGGAAGGCTCTTATTTCACCCCAGCCTCGCCTGTGCGTGTTGTTATCTGTCATCGTGATGAAAGCCATCCTGGTGGGTGTGGCCGGGCAGCAGGCAGGGAAAGGCCACAGAGGGAGGTCCGGCTCCTGTGGGCCGCCAGACACCCACCCCTTGCCACTTCACACACTGCAGCTGACTTTGGCCTCTGGGCCTGACTTGGGAGAGGCAGAGGCGGCATCTTGTTCTCATGTGTGGGAAGGCTATGAAAAGAAAAACCCTTGTTGGCCCAAACATTTAAACAAGAATTACACTAGATGTTTTGTTCTCCCTCTGACATGGTCAGAATTAATTTGGAGATCGAAAAAAGGATTATTTTATTGTTATTGTTGTTGCTTGGTTTTTGAATCTGAGTTACTTAATACAAGAATACAGAGGGAAATACAAAACAAAACATGTCTTAAGTCTATTAAATGGTATTGGAACCTCCCCAGGTCATACTTCAGTGCCCTACTTTGTTGGTGTGGGGGGGCTCCACATTCAGGCTGCTGGGGAACTTCTTGAGAAAAGGTCCCTGTCATACAAGGCAAGCTGCAGGGTTCGTCTGGGTGTCTGGAAGTACACAGCCAGAGCCTAAGAGATCATGAGCGTTTTTTTCTTCCTCCTTAGGTTTAATAGGAAAAAACTTGCTTTCTGCCAACAACTGAGAAAACTGCCCTTGGAAACTGTTTCTTTGGTCCACATGGAGCAGCTGGAACTTACACTGTGAGGCCCTTGACGGGACAGGCGCTCACCCCCGGTCAGCCAGTGTGATTGTCGCCATGGCTAGCAAGAGGAAGTCCACCACCCCGTGCATGATCCCTGTGAAGACCGTGGTGCTACAGGACGCCAGCGCGGAGGCCCAGCCCGCCGAGGCTTTACCAGAAGGACCCCAGCAGGAGCTGCCCCCCGAAGCGCCTGCCAGCAGCAGCGAGGCTACCCCGACACCCAGCAGTACTGATGGCCCCGCCCTGGCCAACGGGCACCGGGGCACGTTGGACGGCTATTCATATTCCTGCAAATACTGTGATTTCAGATCCCAGGACATAACTCAGTTTGTGGGACATATGAACTCAGAGCACCCAGACTTTAATAAGGATCCAACTTTTGTATGCACTGAATGCAGTTTTCTGGCAAAAACTCCTGAGGGCCTTTCTCTGCACAATGCCAAGTGTCACTTGGGAGAAGCCAGCTTTGTATGGAATGTGGCCAAGCCAGACAATCATGTGGTCGTGGAGCAGAGCGTCCCCGAGAGCACCTGTGCTCCCGACACACCGAGTGAGCCCAACGCTGAAGGGACTGACGGACAGGCCGAAATCATCATTACCAAAACTCCAATCATGAAGATAATGAAAGGCAAAGCTGAAGCCAAAAAAATTCATACGCTCAAGGAGAACATGCCCAGTCAGCCTGTGGGTGACACGGCCTTACCAAACCCACAAGCTGGGGAGACCGAGGCGAAGGAGGGGGACCACCCCTTTGTCAATGGGGCGGTCCCGGTCAGTCAGCCGGCCGCCGGCTCGGCCAAAGGGCCACACGCAGCCAACGGGCCCCTGCTGGGAGCGGTGCCGGTCCTGCCGGCCGGCATAGCGCAGTTCCTCCCCCTGCAGCAGCCACCCCCCGTGCACGCCCAGCACCATGGGCACCAGCCGCTGCCCACGTCCAAGTCCCTCCCCAAGGTGATGATCCCCCTGAGCAGCATCCCCACCTACAATGCGGCCATGGACTCCAACAGCTTTCTGAAGAACTCGTTCCATAAGTTCCCCTACCCAACGAAAGCGGAGCTCTGCTATCTGACCGTGGTCACCAAGTACCCAGAAGAGCAGCTCAAGATCTGGTTCACAGCCCAGAGGCTGAAGCAGGGCATCAGCTGGTCCCCCGAGGAGATTGAGGATGCCCGGAAGAAGATGTTCAACACGGTCATTCAGTCCGTTCCCCAGCCCACGATCACCGTCCTCAACACGCCCCTGGTGGCCAATGCCGGTGGCGTCCAGCACCTCATCCAGGCCGCCCTCCCGGGTCATGTGGTGGGGCAGCCAGAGGGCACGGCGGGCGGCTTGCTGGTCACGCAGCCACTGATGGCCAACGGGCTGCAGGCGCCCGGCTCGTCCCTGCCGCCCGCCGTCACGTCGGTGCCCAAGCAGCCCCCCGCGGCGCCCATTAACACGGTGTGCTCCAACACGGCGTCGGCGGTGAAGGTGGTCAACGCGGCCCAGTCGCTGCTCACGGCGTGCCCCAGCATCACCTCGCAAGCCTTCCTGGACGCCAGCATCTACAAGAACAAGAAGTCTCACGAGCAGCTGTCCGCCCTGAAGGGAAGTTTCTGTCGGAACCAGTTCCCAGGGCAGAGCGAGGTGGAGCACCTGACCAAGGTGACCGGCCTCAGCACCAGGGAGGTGCGCAAGTGGTTCAGCGACCGCAGGTACCACTGCCGGAACCTGAAGGGCTCCAGGGCCGTGCTGCCCGGCGACCCTGGTGCCGTCGTCATCGACCCCGGGCCCGAGGCGCCCTGCTCTCCGGCGGTGGCCAAGGCCCCCGAGGTGCCCTGCGTCCCGCCAGCCGCCACCCTGGCAGCCCCCCCTTCCGCCAGACGCCAGGCCTGGCACCAGACCCCCGATTTCACCCCAACCAAGTACAAGGAGCGAGCCCCAGAGCAGCTCAGAGCCCTGGAGAGCAGTTTTGCACAAAACCCCCTTCCTCCCGACGAGGAGCTGGACCGCCTGAGGACTGAAACCAAGATGACCCGGAGAGAGATCGACAGCTGGTTCTCGGAGAGGCGGAAGAGAGTGAGCGCCGAGGACCCCAGGAGGGCCGACGAGGGCCCCGGCCCGGATGAGGAGGCCGTGGCGGCTGCCGAGGACGAGGCGGGAGAAGGGGAGCTGGTGGGGGACCTGAGGGTCCCCGGCGAAGACGGCTCCCTGGAAGGGCTCAGCAGCCACGCCCTGGCAGAGCGCAAGGTCAGCCCCATCAAAATCAACCTCAAGAACCTGCGGGTCACCGAGGCCAACAGCAGGAGCGAGCTCCCGGGGCCGGGCGCCTGCGAGCCCGAAGAGGAGGGGCCCGGCAAGCCTGCGGAGCAGCCCCCGGGCAAGGCGAGCTGCAAGAAGACGGCCCCACAGCGGCACCTGCTGCGCCGGCTCTTCGTGCAGACGCGGTGGCCCAGCACCCAGGACTATGACGCCATCACGGCCCAGACCGGCCTGCCGCGGCCCGAGGTGGTGCGCTGGTTCGGGGACAGCAGGTACGCCCTGAAGAACGGCCAGCTCAAGTGGTACGAAGACTATAAGCGGGGCAACTTCCCTCCGGGGCTGCTGGTCATCGCCCCTGGCAACCGGGAGCTGCTGCAGGACTACTACGGGACGCACAAGACGCTGCGGGAGGAGGACCTGCAGAGCCTCTGCGACCAGACCCAGATGAGCTCCCAGCAGGTCAAGCAGTGGTTTGCGGAGAAGATGGGCGAGGACACCCGGGCTGTGGCGGACACGGGCGGCGAGGACCAGGGCGCCCGTGAGCCTGCAGCCGTGCACAAAGGGACGGGGGACGCCTATGCAGAGGTGTCGGAAAACAGTGAGTCGTGGGAGCCCGGCGCCCCTGAGGCCAGCTCGGAGCCCTTTGACACCCGGAGTCCCCAGGCTGGACTTCAGCTGGGTAAGGAGCCCTCGGGGTCCAGGGCCATCTGCTGTGGGGAGGGGGGGCCCCTGACGGGCCACGGCGGTGGCTGCTGTTCCTAAGCTCCCTGGCAGTGGGACCAAGTGGCCAGCTGCTTCAGGGGGTAGCCGGCAGCAGAAGCCATCAGAGCGCCATGGAATATGACCTACCGTGTGATGCGTTTCCCGTGTCGTTAGGGGAAGGAACACAGTGGGCCTGTAAGTGTGCAAGCTTTTCTAGACATTTCCTAGCAGTGGGAGAGTAGGTCAAAGCACCCTCAGAGTCAGAGGGAACCACAGCTCCCGGGTGTAAGGAGAGAACAACAGGACTGTTGAGGAAATTCAACTCAGGATGGCGAGCGGAAGGAAAGGGGCTCAGATTGCCCTTAGATGTGGGAAGTGCTTTTATGTAAATGGTGAAAGCCCTGTAATTTGCATTTGTTGCTCTTTCTGATTTGGAGAAATGGGAAATCATCTTCCCTCTTAGACATCTGTGGAATCAAAAGCTTGAGTTTTGTTCCTCCGTTTCTCTGGATCGTATCCCTGGTATTAGCTTGAAAGAAAACTTTAGAAGATAAGTTACCAAAGATAGTTTTAAAGCCCCAGACAAGTCACTTTGGCAGTATCAGGTCCTGACCCCCGGGGTCCCAGCCTCCCCTTCCCCTCCCTATTGTTGGGGGTTTGTTTCCGTAGGAGCCTCATCACAGGATGGCCAGCAGCCTGTGGAAACTGAGCAAGTGTCTGGATTCTCAGATTCTCCGATTTGGGGACCTTTAGAAGTTGGTTCTGGGTCCAGTATTTCCAGACTTGGCCTTGTTTTCCTCAGGCCCCCATGAGTCAGTGAGGCCCTCACAGGCGGTGGTGGGCTCCAGGAAACAGGACTGGCTTTACGGGGCTGGTTGCCTGGGGCACCTTCTCCAGCACTGGGCGTGCCCCTGGGGATTGCTGGCAACTAGAACAATCTAGATTCTTTAAATTAAAATTTCACTGAAGTATATTTTGGGGGTAGCTGGAAATAGGGTGGTGGTTACAAACCCTGTGAATGTATCTAAAGCCATTTAAACGTACATTCAGAAATGGTTCACATGGTAGCTTTTATGTCGTGTATGTTTTATCACAATTAGAAAAGCTAACCGGGAGGTCGGATGAGTGGGTTTGAGTCACAAGGACTGCCCTCCCCTGCCCCCGCTCCTGAATCCACCGCAAGGCCAAGTGTGGTGTCCCCTGTTGGGACAGAGCAGGCGTGGCACTGTGGCCGCCTCCTCTTCTGTCTGAAGCACGTAACCCTTGGCTTCAGGAAGGGCTCGTCTGTGTGTCTGTGCTTGGTCTCTCCACCGCCAGCCTCTGTGCACAAGCCGTGACGGCGAGCGTCCCGGACCGTGGGCCTCTGAAGCACCCAGCGGCGGCCCAGGCTTGGGGGGCGCTGGTCGGTCGGGGGCGCTGCGGGGCTGGCGGGCGGCGGGTGGGAGGGCGCGGCCCCTGTCCCGGCTGCTGGGAGGTGGGGCGGTCCAGGTGGCGGCCGCTGAGGAGGTGACAGGCCTGTGTTTTCTCCTCAGAAACAGACTGAATGGGAACTGCTCACTTTGAAGGACTGGCCCGTCCGGGACGCCGCCTGCCATGGGGAAGGGCTCACCCCGCCTCCGCGGCCACACGCCGCTCCCATGCCCGCCGCCTCCGGGCTCGCCCGGAGCTTCTGGAGGCCTCGCCGCCCGCCCAGAGCCTGCCGCCGCCGCCCAGTGCGCCCGGGGAGAGCAGAGTGCTTGTCAGTCCTTCCTCCCACCACGTAGGACCTTTCCTTTGCCTTCCAGTGGATAAAATAGTTCAGAGTTCATATCATAGACACGGAATCAAGTTTTTAACCTATAAATCCGCCTATCCACATTTAATAAAACATCCGATTACGAACGCTTTCGTCACGTAGAAAGCTGGGTTAGCCAGCCGCGCGGTGTCTCCCGTCATCTCTGCAGACGCCCTGTGTGTGTTCTCTGCAGCTCGCGAAGCCCTGGGCGCCCCCGCGCTCCTCCGTAAGGCGGCGTCTGCCCAGGCCGCTGCCCGAGGGGGCCTTGCCCTGCCCTGCCCTGGGGGCGCCGCGGCACGCGCCGGCCACCTGCTAGTGCTCGCTCCCCGGGCTCGGAAGCCCTTGCAGCCACACTGCTTGTTCGTGGGAGTTTGAATCATGGACCAGAACTTTTCAGTTATCAGATCAAGTTCTTGAAGCATTTGTTGTCAAGCCCGATGTACTGACCGCTGTGCCCACGTTTTTGTTGTTGTTTTTCAGTCTAGATGTTCTGAGAGTGAGAGGAAAACTGAGGAAAGGAGCAGGCGGGGCCGAACGCAGAAGTGCACGGCCCCAGCGTGCGGCTCTGGCCGCTGTGGTTGTCGCAGCCCTTGACCCCCACTCCCTTCACGGCCGCCAGCAGTCTGGGAAGGAAGACCCGCGCTCCACTGGGAGTAAGAGCGAACGCTCTGGGATCTGGGGAGCCAGGAGCTGTCAGAGCGGGGGTGGTCCTCGGCACGGACACCTGCAGATGGGGGGTCCTGGCCGGACACCCAGGGTGCTCGTGGCCCCCCGCGCCGAGGGCCTGGCTGGGTGCTGGGCATCACTGGACAGGCCCTTGTGAGGATTTTATATTCCCAGATTTGGAAACAAGATCTTCTTTAGCCTAATCCTCATACCATTTTTTTAATTGAGAAAAATCACAGGAAAAGGTGCTTTTGAAACACTGGGCAACTTGCTTACAAAGCTGTACGACTTGGTAAATCGCTATTTCCCCAAAACTGGCTGTTCTGAGAGCAGCGGGCGGAGGTGGGGCAGGCGGAAGTCATGTCCCTGGCAGCTCCACTCGCCTGCCAGAGACCACCTGCTTCCCTAAGCCTGTGAGCTTCCCCAAGGCCCTGTGAACATGCTCCTCCTGGGCCCGGGCTGGGGGGCAGCACAAAGCGGCCCCAGAGAGAGAGGGTGGGGGCTTCAGGCACGACAGGCTGGCAGGAGGGTAGGCGCTGTCTCCCTGACCCTACCCAGAACTGAACTGGGTGCGGCCCCTTGCTGTCTTGGCTCCAAGGACGAAGATGGTGGTGGCACCTTTTGCCTTCCAGGAGATGGCTTTCTCCGGACACCAGAAGCCCTTGAGCCCCTGCTCTTCTAAAGTGTCTTCTCCCGCTCTCCCAGGCCCAGTAGGGACCACCTCTGAGTTGTTTCAAACATGATGTACGAGTACTTGGCAAGTTCCACACCCTGTGTTTGTGTCCTTTTCATTTGAGTGTGAAGCCTTTAGCCCCAAAGACCTCGTGGCAGAATTGCCCATGGTGAGTGATTGCCTTCCTGCAGAGAACAGACACCTGGAATTTCTCATTTAGGGTTTATGTACATGCAGATTAATTTATATATACACATAGATATAGTACAGATGCTCATTCGATACTTGTAAAATGTCCACCTGAGGTATACACTTGAGGAAGCTCCCGGCACGTGGCTGCTGGGGAAAGGAGCCTGCGTCGGAGGGAATGCCAGGCCCAAGGTGCCACTGCGGCGGCCTGGCCGGAAACCATCTGAGTGTTGGCGACACCGGCCTGCCGGCCTCCCTCTGAGCCCCGCATTGGCCAGAGGGTTTTAAAGAGAATTTTCTCGGTTATTTAACTTGTGTTCATATTTCATTTACAACCCAAACAGCAACACAAAAAATAAATTTCATGGTGGACAAGTTCACGTAGGACACAGCGACCCAGCCTCAGAACCAGCCTGTCTCTAGACAGTGGAGAAGCTGCAGGCTTGCCTGCCTGGGCGTGTTTTCCTCACAGCTCTTAGCCCTGCCCACGAATGGCAAGACGGCCCAGGTAAGGCCCCCAGCAGCCTAGAGAGGCCCACCCCCTTGCTGTGGGCTTGGACCCGAGCGAATAGTGGGTTGGAGCCTCACGGTCACAAGAATCACGGTCACCGGTGATGGCGAGCGAGACGGCTGGGTCAGCGAGCCGGTGCCCAGGGCTCTGGGTGCTCGGGGAATGCTGCTCACCCGACACGGAGACCCACACAGGCCTGGAGGGCAGTGGCGGGGGCTTGGGGGGAGTGTGGGCCGCAGCAGACAGCCCTGTGTCCGTCACAGGACAGGTCACCGTGGTTTTGCACGCCGTCAAAGCGTGTCTGTGATGTCACCTCTGGCAGAAGGTGGTCTGTGGGCTGCAGAGTTGAGACATGGGGTTAGTCCCCCCTGAAGAAAAGCCTGTTGTATAAGATGACTCATCTTTCTCCTCTGTATGCACGTGGCCTCGTCACAGATAGTAAACATTTCAGTGTTTCTCGTCTCCTGTGTCTGGCACATGTTTGGTTTGTTTTATTTTTTACCCGGGGTTGTAGAAGCAGTTGTAGTAGGTGAAACCGGATCATCATCTGATCAAGGAAATCTGGATTTATGATACATAGATCTTGCATATTTTGTTACTTACTTTAACTCTTGACTATGAGGGAGCTTTTTGATTTGAGAGGAGAGTTCTCCTGTTCAGGAGTCGCACGTTCCTGAAACAGAGCGCCCTGCTCGGATGGCCCTGTTGGCATTTGGGGTTTGGTAGCGCCACGTGACTTGGAGCTCCTGGCCTTGCCGGGTGACTGGCGGCTGTCCCGCTGGACCACAGTGCCCCGAGCAAGCACCCGAGCAAAGGCCCTGCTCCCTGTTCTCCAGAAGCACGGGTGTGGGAGCCGGGCAGTGTGGGCTGGTAGCTGGTCCGCTCCCCTGTGCACGGACGGTGGCGTCCCAGCTGGCCATGGGGGATGTCCCACCAGGAAGTTCCAGCGTGTTTTCCAGGCTAAGATGTGGCTCTTCATCCTGCTCAGTCGTTGGCTCAGTGACAGGTCCTATGTCCCCTTCCTCCCCGCTCTGGCCCTGGGACATCTGTGCCAGGCTGCTTTCCATGGAGGCCGGGCGCTCGGGCTCTCCCCACCTCCTCCCGCAGCTCCCTGCTGGGCTGCCTGGTCCCCGGCCGCGTTGCCTCGTGTCTTCCTGTTCCCTTCCCCAACTGCAGCCCTTGCACTGGAGCATCCTCATCCGTGTAAACACCACGGCCCAGTGCAGAAAGGCGCTTTGTAGGAGAGGAGAACCGGCCAACAAGAAAGCGTGAAACCAAACCAAACCAAACCTGGAATTTTATTTTTATTTTTTTTTTAACCAAACCTGGAATTTGGGCTTTTTCTAATTTTTCTCCCCCTTTCCTTGCTCAGAGTTTATCTGGGGCAGGTTATTGGTTTGACCCACCTTTTGTATTAAGTTTAATTATCCTTAATTTTCCTTTATCCCACTGACACGCGAGGCTCAGTCGAATGCCAGGGAAGACCTTATAGATGGCTGAGTGTCTATAGGACCAGCTTCTAGGCCGGAGCCAGCAGCCGCTGGCCCAGGGCACTGACAGGCTGGGCTCGCCTCACTCCCGTCTGGAGTCCCATGTCCAGGAGGTCTCCCGACTGTGCTTCCTTTGTTCTCTTTCCTGAGGAGCACAGGCCCACCCAGCCTTCCTGCCCAGACCTGGGGGGGCCATCTCTGCATGGCTGGGGAGCCCAAGCCTTCTTCCGAGCGGGCCCCGCTCCCAGCCTCGTTTCTGTCTGAGGGAACCGGCGCGCTCCTTCTCTGGTCGTTTACAATAGCCAGGTGGTGCGGCGCCAGGGCTGGGGAGGCTGGAGGCAACTTCTCAGCAAAGTGACGGGTTTTGATTTAGGCCAAGTGACCACGGGAGGGACGACTGCAGGTGCGCCTTGGCTGGGTGCGCAGCCCAGCTCTGCGTCCAGAAGGGACGGAGAGGCCTCGGTGGGAGTTGGTTTCTGCCCCAGCCTGTGTGCTGTTCCTGGCACCGGGTCGTCCCGGGTGGGGGCTTCTCTGAGCGGACCCAGCAAGGGCACGCAGCGGGGCAGGTAGAGCACTCAGAGCATTTGGTCCTAGGGGTGATCCACAGCCTGCTTCTCTGGTTCTCAGTCCTGAGTGACTTGTCAAGACCGGCCACGAACCTGGCCACTCCTCTGAGCGCCCCCCCAGGCCTTCCCCAGCCGGGAGACTGGACAGCCTGGTTCCCGCAGGAAGCAGCCATTCTGTCGGCAGAGGTCCCGAGCAGGGGCAGAAACCCCCAGGCCTGGCAGGACCAGCAGGTCCCGGTCATCACACGGACGTGGGTGACAGCAAGCACCTGCCGCCTTGATTTGTGAAAACACTGCCTTTTGGTTGGCAGGAATGCCAAGATCCACCAAAAACACACTGAGTCCTGCTTTGCTGTCCCCAGCCCCGAGGCTTCCGCTGCCCTCAGAGCCTGGCCCTTGTGGCTGCTCAGGCTGGAACCAGAGGGAGGGGCGAGCCCAGCGCGCAGGGCTTTTCAGAGGTGGTCATCGTCCCTTCTGCTTGGTGTCCTTCCCGCGGCCCGCGGGGGGCAGGGGGCAAACCGGGGCGCACGAGAGTCTGCAAGTCGACCTGCCATTAGCGCCTCTTCCTCTGGAGCCCCGCTCTGCCGTGGTCGCCCGCGCGCACCGGAGCGCTTGCGTGTTAGTGGCGTTTCTAGGACTGCTGTGCCCTAGGACTGCTCTTCGTTCCCACGCTAAGTGGGGGGCTTAGAGGTATTTCAAGTATCCAGCTGGAGCCTTAGGGG